GGTTCGGTTTCAGTGTCCATTATCTAAATTGCTCTAGCTCAAGACCTCTTTTCGACTGAAAAGACATTTGGCAATCCAGTGTCCTCGTAGTTGAGTAACTATGTGTTAATGTAAGTGTAATGACGACAACTTTCATCATCAGGACGTGAACTGTCGTTGAAAATTTGTCGCATCAAATTGTCAAATAATTTCCAGCTGTAAATACTTATCCTTCGCAACAAGAGTAATGAACACGGCGCGTATGGGATTCCGTTGGTTGAAAGTGCCCATACGACTTATAATCGAGGGATGGTTTAAGGATTCAATCACATTTGCTAATCTCGCCCCAACCAACCGAGACATCCTGTAATGCACGTAGTAATGAATCGAAATAATGAAGTAAGCGTTGAAATTTATTACCTTGCGAGAAAGCTCTTTCCGTGCAAAGTTAAACCAGTTAATCCACAACAACACATAAGCTGAGCAGCATGATTCAGGATTTGTTCATAATTCTGGAAATCTCGAAAGCGAGTGTCTCATACTAATTTAACTGTTCGGAAGGTAACTCAACCCTGAACTTTTACTACGAGTACAAATGGAATAAAAGCGACAATAAAGGGGACATACATGGAGAAATAAAGCAAAACAAAGGGATTTTCCGTCATGCTCCATGTGGACGGAGAGGCTCGTATACGATGGGAGAAATTGCTTGAGTTAATTACCCATGTTGATGGTTTTGTTCACGCACGGCCAGTCACCAACCACTCAACAACTTTCTTTGTCTTTGTTCCCCTTCTTTGTTGTCAACAGGAGATGATGAAGTCAAAGTAGTTCAACAGAGTTAAACTGAAATAAACACGGCCTTTGTACGTGCTAAATACTTTGGAGTCGTTGTTGACAGAGAAGAGGTGACCTAAGCCAAATAATTTTTAAACTCTGCTTGCTCTCATTATACCGAGTAGAACAGTATAACATGATTTAACATGCGTGGCTGGAGGTTACTGCATATTTATAATGTGTTAGAAAGTGTATAGAAATATATATGATAATAGGCACGCATTCATTTCTAAAGCAGATTTTGTTTTATAATTTGGATTTTCTATTGATGTGGTTCAACGTTGGAATTAGAAGCTGAAAGTCTTCGTTGCTTTCTACTTACTCGCAGTTTAGCGATGGAAATGTTCGGTTAACCTGTTGGGCTTGTTTGCTTATTCGCCCACCCAAACACATTCGCCCAGCCTTTAGAGTTTATAGGGGGAAGAATATAAATATTCTAAATGAATTTGTATGCGTGATATTGTTTCAATAACCTCACAACATCAGTGCTTGTTCAGTTGTATGATGAGCGTTCATCCAACCGAGTAAACAGCGCACCGAGACCCTTTAAAAGTTTAAACTCTACCAGGCAGCTCTGTACATCAGTCAGATAGTCATCGCTTTAGCTGATAAAACACTTCTTCTTCTTCTTCTGAGTGAAAGTTTCATGGGCTAAAAATTCAAAGGAAAGGGGAACTCACGTTGGAAGAACATGATTCAATTCAACAAATTCAAGGCTGAGAATTGTCACAAATAAAATGCGGAGCATGAGATATAAAAGAAGGTTCGATCACTGTGAGAGTTGTCACTACAGGAGGAGCAGTGGGAGTGGGTCGAAGGTACATATATCCATAAGTACGTAGTCCGTGCTGGTTGAGTCTGAATTGAAGTCAACAAGCAGCTCGATAGAGTGAAAGGGAAAGTTTAAAGGTTTAAAGGGTGAATTGAATTCTAAATCCGGAGAGTTAACCCCTTTTCCCGTGCACTGATGTGATGTGGGACGTAAAATGACATTTTTCAGTGAGTTCTTGACTTTCACTGGCACATCTGCATCATCCAAACGAATCACTGAAAAAGGCAACATTTCAAGCATTTCACATCCACGCACATAGACATTTGCATCATCCCTGCTTAAGGACAAAATGTTGAACTACTACATTTCTATTCACAATGGGCTCTGCTGCAGATTTTGTATGCAATGTATTGATAACTTTGAATTTATTGGATCAAGTGTATTTATTGAATTCAAGCATGAAGCTTGAAGCCATAAAAAGTTTGAAGTATTTGTATGTTCCGATTTTCGGAGAACATTTTGTCCTCACTTATGCAAAACTTTGTTTTTTATTGTTTTTTGGAGGAAAGTTTTTAAGGCACACAATAAAAGATTTTTCTGTGCGTGGGTTTGAAAGCTCCGTTTTAACAGATTTAATTGTTCCAACATGTGCCGAAATCTTCAACTTTGATTTATTTCTTCAAAGATGAAAGATTTATTTGAGATCGGACAAGCAAGTCTCGTGCTTCAACCCTCACGCACAATATACACATCAGTCCATATTTACAATTCTGCTTATTTCCTTCGGGACATCAGGAGCAGATTGGACATTAGTTTGAAAGAGCAGCCAGCCAGGAACATGTACAAGAAAGAAAGGGGGAATCCTTCCATGCCAGTGAAAGCAACTGCCTGCCAATAATACTACAAGGGCGGAAGAATAAAATGACATATGAATGAGTACCTCTCTCAGCCCAATGCACACAAGTGATGGGGAAAAAGAGGCAAACCAAAGCCATGTAAGGTCAACCATACGATTTTTGGTTTCGGTTTCCTGAATTATCCTCTTCCGCCCGTAAGTCGATCTCTCGTTTTGGTTCATGGTGTGGCGTGGAGTTGTGCGGTGTCACATGGGGTTGGTTGTGGTTATGTGTATGGAAGGACTTGATGTTTCAATGTCAAATCTCCAATATCAGAGTGAAATTTGATTCGCTTCGATTTTCGATTGTTCTATCATGTTGACTTTACCTACGTACGTACAAGTCCGCTGTGGTTGAGATCTTACACCAGCAGCAGCTGGAATACCGCAGTCACCCACCAAAAGTATCTTGGGGTGACTAGATTGCCTCTCATTTATTTCCTTTTCAACTTTCTCCCTCACTACACGACGACTCGCATGATGGTTATGTATTGCATTGTCTTGTTTGATTTCGTCTGGGGAAGGGGATGAAACGTCTGTCTCAAGGTTTCGCGTTGTGGGGGACGGAGAAAATTCCTTCAGTTTGTCGATTATAAGCAAGCTGGCTGGGATTTTTTCTATAAACAATATGGAGATCTCGCTACATAGAAATTTTTTCAAGGCAGGACAAATAAGTCACGTGATTCTATGTACTTTTGAAAAAATAGTGAACATAGACGGCTTGATCTCTAATCCATAAATAGCACCTCGCTTTAAGGAAGCTGGCCAATATTTTACTCTTATTAGCAAGGTCTACATCTACATATGTAAGAAAGCCTCGAATTCTGCTCGATATGTGTAGCACACGCGATCCCTCCAACTTTCAATGCACCACGTATTTATGCAGACAGATGTGGCAGAGCACTAAAAGAAAGCACTAAATGAACATACGGTCCTGTTATTTTATGAAATTGAATGAGAAGTGCATGTGCAGGGAAAGTCGGAAAAGTGCATTTACGTTATTTCTTCCGTATATCTATTCGCCGTTGACGGCAAGTGCATTACGTAGGGTGGATTGAATTGTATTAAGTTTCGGTCCTCCTCATCTCTTCTCCAGCTCGCCTCTTCGCCACCCTTAATTGATATTCCGAAAGAGAAGGCAATCAAGAGAGTAATTGTCGAGTTAGTTTATCAGCGTGTTGGGGAAGTGCAAGGACACGTAGGCAGAGACAGGGGATAAATGAACGAGGAAGTGCAACAGATTTCTATCCTACTTATGTATTGGTCCAGTTGGCCTTTCTGGATTAAATAAATTGGAGGGGAAGAAATTAAGTAAAATCAATAACGAAAAGAACCAAAGAATAACTTTTTGAAATCAATCCACTTTTGAAACCTCAAATTTGTCATGATTCACATTTTGGATTCACACCCAAGGATTTTCTTATTACCGAACATAACAGAAAGGACCAAACATACAGAAATTGTCAACACAAAGCATTAATTTACCAACTTGGGGAGATCACGGATGTAATTTGTATAGGAATGTACTGCTGAGCACTGCTAGGACATCACCCTCAATTTTTCTCAGCCTGCTTCACACGTTTAATTCTCAAGAGCCCATCTGTTGCCGTCTCGAGGGTCGTCGTCGACTCAATCCAGTCAACCAGAGCGAGAGTGAGAAAGTGAAAGGGATCTCCAATGCTCCTCTATTTCCTGTCATATCTTCTCCATCGAGTACATCAAAATCTTCTACTTCAAAAACATGGGAAAATGTTTTTTTCGTGGTAATGTTTTCTAATAGTTGGTGGGCCAAAAATATGATTGCTACCAGCTCAGTAACAGTTGAGGAATGTGTGCTTTAATGCAAAAGAGGGAGAGTCTGTGGACGATAATTACGTGGTATTTGGGAGGAACTGGTGGACTGAAAATGGAACCTGAAACAGAAACTTTGGTGATGTGATTTGGAATGGGGTGAAAGAATGAGATACAGTCTGAGAAGCAGATGATGTATATCCGGATCCAATTGTAATTCCGCTTCCACGCTTCCCCTTTCCCCCTCGCACTTTGATATCGAGTAGTCGCAGCAAATCCAAGTATTGACTATGAATTTGTGCCACCATCACCGCTGCCGTTGAACTCTGGGTAGCACTTTTGTAGGTATTCGTGATGTATGAGATTCTCCCAAGCCCAACTCTTTTCAATAAAGAACCTTTGCCAATTACAGTCCGTCTTTTGGTTCACTTGCCTCTGCTTCATTAAAGTAAAACTAATTTCTATTTCTTTTAATCACACTTGACTGCTTTCGGTAATCTTATTTTATACCATCAAGACATTTAGGAATGTCAGCAGTAGCTAATTTCCTTCCACATCACCAGGTAGCAAAAGTTTGGAAGAGACGGAAATCACACTCCTAAGCCCCATGTACTGTATTAAGTTTAAACATCAGACATACAAAAAAATGATTCGCTGGATGCATTTATAAATATCTAAACTTGATAAACTCTGGATATTGAAATTACAAATTATTCTTTGTTGCAGCCATGAAGGAACTTCCAAAATTTGGAGAACCAATCCCCAACGTCACGGTAAGGTGTTACAGAATATGGATAAATATATGTGTCGCATGTATTAGTTTAGAGTTTGACTAAATGAATGTATTAACCGAACCTTAATGGGAAATTATATATTTATTTTTTAGGTTGCAGTGGGAAGGTGAGTTGAGAAACTTTTTGTCCGAACCTCCTTATGAAACATTTATTACTGTGCATAACATTTTTTTCCCCTTCAACAGGGATGCGTCACTACCATGCGTTGTAGAATCACTAGGTAATCACAAGGTAAGGTCAAAGTTTATTTGTTATATTCGAATGATTTGAGTGATTTTATAAAACATGAAAAGTACTTGCTTTCACGATAACTAGTTGAATTTCATCAATAATTAAATGTCCGCCCACGATCGTTCTTCCCTCTGCGAGTTGGGAACCAATTCTTTTTGAAGTGGCCCTGTAAAATGCCATGTAATTCTTGTCCCAAGGACATAAATGTCCCATTATGTTTGCACACATTTTATTCAAAGATAATTTGTGTTCTAAAGTGTCTCATGAGCTCAAGTGGGAGAAAATCACTCCAAAGGATGGAGAATTATTAAGGTTGAGTGCATGAAGGGGAAAGTTGCAAGGAATCCTCTAAACTGGTGAAAGATCTCTCTTTTCGCCACTTTTGTGCCAAAAGTGCCAGATTATTGCTCGATTAGACCTCCTAAGTGTCAAAAGAAGGGCGATGAAAAAAGTGGAGAATTTTCTCATCTTCAACCTCCATTCCATTTTACACCTCAACGATAATCTTTGATTTAGTGAGGGGATGCAAATAACACTCAAAATATTCAAACTTTCCTTCAGTCTCGGTACAAATTGAGTCCTCTATATTTCACGCAGTTCAACAATTTATTCTAACATATGGTCACACAATTTAGGCAGAAAATAAAATTTGTCCTCCTAAAACAAAACCTCCTCCCCTTTTGCAAAACTCTCCTCCTGGATATTTTGTCCCACCGCCATCCCATGTTTTGACATTTGTCTTCTCTCATGGGTGGAAAACTGTCGCAAAATTATTCATGCGTGTCTAATATTGATGTTCATGCATGCCATTATCCTCTTACACCTATCCACCCACCTAAAGAAAAATATTCGTCTCTATTTGTCTTCATCCTGTTCTAACACACACGGAAAAAATATCCCCAAGAAGATCCTTCGGCTGTAAGGAGTTGCAGGTGGAATGGAGTGAAGTTGAATCCCAAAAACTCAAAACTTGAAGATTTATGCCTTAAAGCGAGAGAACTATGAAATAATTCCAAACGGACCGAAAAACTGGGTATAAATCCTAAAGTCTACGTAAAGTCGGGTACACGGTGAGTGGATATTGAACAAGGAACATTATTCGATCACACCACTGTTGAGAGAGGTAGAAATAAGTGAGTAATAAAAGGATTCTATCGTACGTCGCTACTTATTTGTAGTAATCGACCGGGGGACATTATTTAAGTGCAACATAGGGTTTTTCCATAATTTTTAAAAAACTGGTGTTTTCATAATAATTATATTTTTTATAAGAATTGCTAAAATATTTGTTTTTACTACACTACTCATTGCCATAATTTCTTGGTAGTAATATCAGGACTAGGACTCAGAAGGGGGTACATATGTATTTTGTGGAATTGCCACCTTCTCAACCAAGACAATTAGCAGCGAAGCGATAGTTAATTGTGAAAAGTGCAGGGTATGCAGTTGGGGATGCGAATCCGTGAAAATGAAAGTCATCCAGGGCATAATTGACTTTCAAAGATGAGCTCCCACAACCTAGACTCTCACCAACTTTCCGTCCATGGTCAACTCCCAAGATGAGCTGGAAAGTGAAAGTGAAGGGAGATGATACCCCTGCTCTGAGAAACTTGGAGCCAGAATAAGTTTTCACTAGTTACCACTTCTTGGAATAGTAGTAGTTGCATTGCAGTAGTATAAGAGAGGAAGGGGCAATATATGAATCATTTCCCTTTGTTCCACTACTGCTAACTAACGTACCTACAAGCATCACATTTTCTCGTCCTTGGAGAAGGAAAGAAGTTGGTAAATCTCCCTTGGGGTCGTCAACTACATATACTGTTGACGATTGAGCTGATTTTCTGAAACCCCGTAGTCTCACGAAAGAAGAACTGAAGCTACAGAAATATATGTAATATTTACCTCCTAGATATATATGTGTACATACATAAGTTTTCTTGTATGTATACTAATTATTGCAGCCATTTAATTAAATTCCACACCATAGTATTTTTCCATGCTTTGAGATAACCTTGATAAACCATAATGGCGAATGGATTTTACCTTCTCGAAGTTGACGTTGACGCAATACTTTGGCATTTGGCATTGTTCTCCTCAGACTCTGGTTATTTAAACGCAGAGTCAAGTATTGAGTGCCACAAAGTAAGTGAGACTGACAGTTTTTACATTTGCTGAATGCAAGCGTAGTTTAGGTTAAGGACTAAACGTTCTTTATTGTTTTTCGGTTGTTCCTCGAGAATTCAATGGTGTGGATGTGATTTGAATAAAAATTTAATTTGATAAGGTTGGCCATGTTAAGACGTTGACGTTGAGGCACATGAACTTAATGGAATTTTTGGGTTTCAATTGATCTGTCAGAGGATCCAGATATATACGATTTTATATTTATTTTCCAATCGTCTTGCAAAATCATTTTCATCTGTAGTTGAAGGAAGAAAAAAATAATGCCATGTACGCATGTACTCATGCATGCTCATGTAGGAATAGTTTTACAACACGCCGACTTAACAGCACTTTTGAATAGGTGTTAAAAAATCCTTAGTTTTTTTTTCCTTTTGCGTATATTTTTACATGACCTTGATAGATACGATAAAAATAGAACATGTTCTGAACCGATATATGTAGATATATTACGATACGTACTTATTTACAGATTACGTAGAACAACAATGATGAGGTAACAAATTAAGCTACCGATCATGGTAAAATAAAAACGAGAAACCGATATTAGGAGTGGTTATTTGGTGGCTACGTTTTGGTGCGAGCTAATCTGTGTCGTAGCTGAACTGATTATTTACTTGGTGGCAATGGCAAAGTCGCTGCTCGTGCATGTCCTCAGAAAAGATGAGTGAAAAGGTTCAAGTGTGTCGGAATTGGAGGTGGTTAGACAGCCACCCTTCTCCTCATCTCATAATCATCTCATCTTGTTACAATATTATTATTGCTCACTCACTGACTAACTAACTCACGGCTCTCCCTTCTTCCGCTTTCTCCTCCTGGTTCATGCTCACGGAACGAATTATAACTTTCACCAAATCCTTCAAGTAAAATAATCTGACTCGGTTGCCTATTCATATTCATTCAAAGTTTACCCAGCAGCTCATGAAACTTGAAATAACGTCTGCTTCCTTCAGCAGGATACTTAATAATGGCGTGATAACAATAACAAGGGACACTCAATGACAAGTATAACTCTCCGAAGAATTGCCTGCCTTGGATGAGCACGAATGTTTATTGGACTGCTATGATCATGTTATAATTAAGCAAGGCCTGCTCAAAAATATCGGTTTATTTTGAAAATCCATACAATATTTTCAGTTTAATAGGCAATTAATTCAACATTCTCGTGCAACATGATGTATTTTTTCGTGACTCGTTTTATGTGTTAACATTTTTGGATGTTTTTTTTTAATTTTGAGGGGAGGGCTGTTTAATTTTGTCTTGCAGAAACTACCTTGTGTAATCTCAAGTCTGTCCGTGAAGGAGGATGCCCTCCTTCTACGCACAGGAAGAGCAGGATGATTGTACAATGCGGTTTTCGGTTGGTTGGAAATGAGGTTCAAGTTTGAATGGCATCGGATTGTTGGTTTGACATTGCTCTCTTCCTCTCATGCCTCTGCTGGTTTGTGGTTGTGGTTCTCTTTTCCCAGTTCATTTTGGTTGAATTATAATAAGTTGCTATTCTGGCGATAAGCACTTGTTTGCTTGATATTCATGAACATTGAGGACATTATGCTGAGAAAGGGCTAGTTTATAGGCCTCGCATGATATTGGTTTCTGGTGCGGTCGTGTGCACTTTAAGGAAGACAAGACCAAATCTTTTTCAGAACATGGAAAAGAAGAAAGGGGAGATAAGGCACGTTTTGGGTTTCCATTTCGAGAGTGAAACTCATGAAACTGAATAAAATGCATAAAACGGCTAAAATTGTCATCCATGTGCTTCACCAGCTTGGTTCGTTCGTTTGGTGTTGAAAACGGAAAAGGAAGCGAGCAAGAATGATAATGCATACGCGCGCGGGGCGAGGTTGGCGAGGGCCGGTCTTGCAACTTAACGTCGAATGAGTCACTATCTCCATAAACCACAACAAAATTCTAAGTAGTTGTGTGTGGAATTACGTTTTCAATTCTAAGCTTGGGCGATAATAATGTCGCCAACATGCAAAATGTTGTGTTGTGCTTGTTTGTATATGAAAATCATTTTTTCCAACTGGCAAACACAGATTTGTCCCAACTTATGTATATGTACGTACGAGTATGCATAGGTAATATGTACATCAGCATGTCTGTAGGTTTGTGACGTAGGGAGATTAGAATTTGGAAACTATTTGAAAATCAGAAGGGATCTTGATAAAACAATAATTTCATCTGAAAATGGGAACTGTCCATGTTGACTGATGGAAAATATGGTTGGTTTGAAATGGAGCGAGCAAGAGCCGGTTGGCTGGTTACTGGTGATTATGATCCGCTTTTGGGATTTATCATGAATCTCCAAGTCAGAGGAGCTTTACGTTTGAATGGCATTAATTAATGAATAGTATAGAATTTAATTTCGAGACATTCGAGATTTATCACGGCCAACTGGGACTTGTTCATCTCTCCATTTCTATCAATTTACAATCACCAACAGTCATATCCTGCCATGCGCCCCTTTCATGAATGCACATGTACATACGCACGTACGTAATATATGAGACCATGCATATCGTTTTTAATCGCTCCACGTGTGGACAAAGTTTCTACATATATCAGAATAATAAATTGATGTAATAGTAAGATCGAATTGCTATACATCATTTACGATTGTTATTATTACTCGTTTTCGTATAAAATGGAAACTCATAATATTTAATTCAAATGTAAAGAAGTATGTACTGTACAATCAAAGTAGCAGGTCTTTTTATGAAAATGGAGTATATCAATCAAATATATGTTTTATATTTCATTGCAGGTGGCATGGGTTCACATTGATAGAAGGTAAGAGATAAACACGTAAACAAACAAATTTGAGGAAATATCTTAATAAATTTCAAAATTTATTTCAGAATGATACTGACAATCCATAGGTAAGTCGTCCGTCCTAACAAAAAACTCCTCCAGAAATATATTCTTAACTAATTTTTGTGCAATTTTGTTCTAGACATATTGTCACCAAGATCCCAAGATTCAGTGTATCGTATGATTCACACAAAACATGGCTTCTAAACATAAATGCGGTGCAACAAGAAGATCGGGTAAAAAATCTCTGGTCCTTCATCTCTGAGATATGAACAGTATCTCAAAGCATGAGCTCTATTGCAACTCCAAGTTTTATTATTTTAGGGTTACTACATGTGTCAAATAAATTCTGAGCCAATGCAATCCCAAGTTGGGTATCTGCAAGTTGTTGGTAAGTTGAACCAATTTAATTACCTTTTCCTTGTGGTGTTAGTTATATCAGCGGTTAATTATCAGTGATTGAAATAAATGGAATGATGAGAAAGTGGGTAGATCGGAGAAAAGTTTGGTTGGGGATATTGTCGAGCAGGTTTAATTAGAGAGGTTTTAGGAGTAAATAGTGATTCCATGTTAAAAAGCCGTGTTGAGATATTTCCAATTTATGCTCAGTATTGAACAAGGAAACTCAATTGAGGTTAATTATTAAATGAGTTTAGGAATATATAGAACATTCTGTTCTTCTGTTTTTACACCGTTTTCCTATGAAACGACACCTGTTAAATGTAAAATGATGTATTTATGAAATTGTTTTATGTATTTTTGTAAATTGTTGAATATGCGTGTAAGATTGCCCCGTGACGTGGTGGTGGTTGCCATGGTGACGTCAGAGTGGGATTTTGAGTGCGCGTCGTTCTTTGTTATAAGTCGTAGTAAGTAAGTAGGTAGAAGAATTCTACACAGTCGAGTTTTAGTCGTTGTCAAAGTCAGACATTTTGGATTTTAGTCGTCGTGGTAGGAAATCAAGAGTAAGAATTGTTAATTCTTTGTAATTGATGTCCACGATTAATTTGTCAATAGTAAGTCACCAATCAACTCGTGTTAGTGCAGAGCTCTGAATTGTGTTGACAATTAGTAATTTGTTGGAAATAAAATCTAGTTTAAGTAGATAAAATAATCGTATATTCACTCAAGTCACTTTCTTTAATTCCAACGAGCAAAGCACAATTAAATATACGTAAAGACACTATACTCCGGGTAGGTGATAGCTTGGTTTTTACATTAGTGGTGACCTCGACGTGATTGCTCGTTGGGTCAGTTTTAGTTGAAAGTGGACTAGTTATAGTGGTCAGTGAGTTGTGACCTTTTGAGTGAATTAGTGTACGTGCAAAGACTGTTCCGTGGAAATCCTGGGCGATTGTTGCTGTCTGGACGAGGAGCAGATCGAATTGTTGTGCGTGCAAAAACTTTTCCGTGGAAATCCTGGGCGATTGTTGCTGTCTGGACGAGGAGCAGATTCAAAGGAGAGGATTCACATCAAGCCTTGCCTCATTGAGGACCCGACCCTGAGTATTCGGGGGCTGTTCAGGTGATACCTTTCTAGTTTTTATTGTTGCTGTGAAGTAGTCCGTGAGGAAGGAGTGACCGACCAGATTCACATCGGCGTGTCCGACCGAGAGGAACTTCAACTTTATTCGTCTATTAATCAATTACTGTCTTGCCTCGTTGAGGGCCCCATCCTGAGCGTTCGGGAGCCATAGAGATAACATCATGGATCGACTGAAGAAGGCGAGGGCTCCAGTTCGAGCTTCCATTACCAAGACGGTGGATGGTGTAGTTGCTGAGTTGGCGAAAGATCCAAAGGACTCGAGAGAACTTACCATCAAGTTAAGGAAGTTGGAATCCCTGCAGACGTCGATCAGAGAACATGATGAAAAAGTGCTTACCCAGATGTTGGATGACAATTGCACGGCGGAGTCTTATGGGGAGGAGAGTGCAGTGAATGAAGAATATTCAGATAGAATCAGAGTTTCTATCATGGATATTGAGAAGATTCTTAATGCAGAAATCCGTCCACCAAGTCCGAGTGCAAGTAGCAGCTATGTCACCGTGAATGGGGAGCGTATCAAAAAGGATAGAAGCTTCAAACTGCCCAAGATCGAGCTACAGAAATTCGATGGGAGTTGGAAGAATTGGTTGGGGTGGTGGGCGCAATACCGTCAGATTCACGAAGATGGAGAGTTACCAGTCAACGTGAAGTTTCAGTATTTGGTGCAAGCCATCGTCCCCGGATCAGAAGCAGAGAAAGTGATCAAGATTTATCCGCGCTCGGATCAGAATTATCCATTGGTGGTTGAGAAGCTGAAGTCCCGGTTTGGTGATGAGAAGATTTTACGCCAAATTTATATCAGACAATTGTTGGGCCTGGCTATCAATAGCGCCGCGGATTCAAGAGAAGATGCCGACGTGGAAGAGTTGCATGACCAGTTGGAAGGTCATTTGAAAAGTCTCGAGTCTTTGGGGAAAGTTAGTGATCCAAGTGAACTCATTTATCCATTAGTGGAATCCAGTCTGCCACAGCAAGTGTTACTCCGTTGGCAGAATAGTAACTTAAGGGTACGCGAGAAGAAATCGGATTCAACTTCTGCTACCAATTTAGAAAATTTGATGGAGTTTTTGCGGCTGGAGGCACAGAATGCCAAAGAAAGAAAATTTGTGCTGTCAACCTTCAGGCAAAGTCCAGTCAAGAATAGAGAGAAAGTAAACGTGTATGCAGAGAGTGAATGTGTAGATTTCCCCACTGCTGCCGGTCTCTATTCAAGTCATCAAGCTGAGCAGCGATGTGTCTTTTGTGGAAAGTCGAATCACAAAAGTCAGAATTGCTATAAGGCTCAGACATTACCTCTCGAGGAGAAGAAGATCCTGGTGAAGGAGAATCGGGGATGCTTCATCTGCCTGGGAAGAGGACATTATGCAAATGACTGTACCAAAGAGGTCAGTTGCCAAATATGTGGACGGAAACACTACTCTGTGATGTGTCCTGGTCAGGTCCGAGATGAGGAAGTGACGTCAATTAATGAAGATGAATCAAGTAGTTCGGTGGAAGAAACCACCACAAACTTCAGTCAGGGATGCAAAAGTAAAGTTGTCCTGATGAAGACGCTTCGTGTCTGGGCGGGGAAAAAGTGGGCGGAGCAAATGGAGCCAAGAAAGAAGTCCGGCTACTTTTCGACGAGGGAAGTCAGAGGTCATACATCAGGACGAAAACTGCCCAGGAATTGAAATGTCAAGTAGTGGACAAGTTGACTCTTCAGAATAGCTTATTCGGTGGACATGTGACTAGCACCGAAGAAAAGAATTGTTACCGGGTCACTACCAGCGGTATCGATAGGAAGGATTGCGCGAGGATGAATCTCCAGTTAGTCAACGAGGACTTTATTTGTGGAGCATGCCCAGCAATCCCACCTGGCCCTTGGTGTAAAGAGTTGGCTCGGAAGAAGATCCACACGACAGACACTTCAGCGTCCGAAGTCGACATATTGATAGGAAGTGATCTGTGGGGAAGTTTGATGACCGGAAGAATGGTCAAACTTGGATGTGGATTGATCGCCGTGGAATCCGTGTTTGGATGGACTATCAGCGGAGTGGTTCCAGGTGTCAACAATAGCAAGTTGAATTACGCTGGTGTCGTAATTAGTTCAATTGGAAGCAAGAGCTCTGTAGAGAAGAAAACTCAAGAAGAGCAACAACGAGTCGAGAAGACTACTCAAGATAAACGTGTAAAGGTCGACGAGTTGAGACGGTGTGAGCGAAGTGTTGTGGGGGTTCCCAGAATCGGCCAGCCTGCCATGAGGGGGTGCGGATTGGGAAACGGCAACAGCTTCACTCCAAAGAAGTCAAGATTACTCTCGACAACAAAGGTACTTGGTCAAATTAGTGACAAGTACACGAATAAGTCGTCGTGTGGGAAGATGGAAGCTTGTAACCCCATCGGATTCAGTCGTCCAGCCTCTATTAAGCCGAAGATGAAGGTGCAGAAAGTGGTGGAGAAGAATGCCGAATGGTGGGAGCGACCGACCCCTAGGATTTCAAGATGTCAAGAGAAGAAGCAAGTCCAGAAGGAGCCGGAAGTTGGTGGTAAGGATCAAGATAGGATCTCCAAGAAACCAGTGCGGTATCCGAAGTGGAATTTATAATTTATTTGTGTAATTTAATTTGAATTTGATAATTGCATAATTTGTTTTTAGAATAGTTCTTTTGTTCTCACAAAAGAAGGTGGGAGTATGTTAAATGTAAAATGATGTATTTATGAAATTGTTTTATGTATTTTTGTAAATTGTTGAATATGCGTGTAAGATTGCCCCGTGACGTGGTGGTGGTTGCCATGGTGACGTCAGAGTGGGATTTTGAGTGCGCGTCGTTCTTTGTTATAAGTCGTAGTAAGTAAGTAGGTAGAAGAATTCTACACAGTCGAGTTTTAGTCGTTGTCAAAGTCAGACATTTTGGATTTTAGTCGTCGTGGTAGGAAATCAAGAGTAAGAATTGTTAATTCTTTGTAATTGATGTCCACGATTAATTTGTCAATAGTAAGTCACCAATCAACTCGTGTTAGTGCAGAGCTCTGAATTGTGTTGACAATTAGTAATTTGTTGGAAATAAAATCTAGTTTAAGTAGATAAAATAATCGTATATTCACTCAAGTCACTTTCTTTAATTCCAACGAGCAAAGCACAATTAAATATACGTAAAGACACTATACTCCGGGTAGGTGATAGCTTGGTTTTTACAACACCTATAATATCTTGATAAGGAAAAGCCCTTGAGAAGACAGCAAGTGGGCAGGGTTACATGAGCGACTGCACAAAGTGAGCCATCCTGATCCTCACGATGGTTGACGGCGTGAAAAAGTTGATGTACTGTGAGTAATTCTGCTTTCTTGTCGCAGTTCCTCCGAACATCTTGGATGATGACAGCTCAGACTCCCATGTGGCTGTGAGAGAGCATCAAAACATAACGTTAAGGTAATCACCATTGCAGAGTGGTGCAAAAAATTATTCTCCATTGTCCTTCGTTATCATTATTATTTTGATGATTTTAAAGCTGCAAGGCCGAGGGATTTCCAGAGCCGAGGTATGGAAAACAGAGCTACATATGTGATTGTATTATCTTTGTATGACACGAACGAGGAAGAAAAATATTTCGGTATTTCAGGATCACTTGGAAGCGTGAAGATGGAGCAGCCTTTGCGGTCGACAGGAGGAAAAAAGGTAAGTCATCAAGCGAGTCATGTCCACTCAATATCAAACGAAATCTTTCGTAAAAACCACGATGTTACAGCGAGACTACGGCACTCAATTGCCAATTGACATCCACTACACTTTTCTTCCACTGTTTGACATTTGTACCCATCACATAGCCCACCCATTCAGAGACGACTTTTAGCCTTACCGTTGCAGGAAGGAGACATAATTATTTCGTTGAATGACACATTTCCACGAGAAAAAATATTTGCAACTTTGTAAACTAGAAAGTCGAACGTACGTACTATGTAGTCAGTGGGATTCGAGTGTTGATTCGTATCAAGGATTCATGTAACTATAAGAAATGTGCAAAACTCGAGCGGAGAAAGTTTTTTCAAGAAAAGTGAAAGTTGTATAAAAACATCTCGAGTATGTAGCATTACTTGACATCAAAGTAATACGTATTATTTTAAAAGCGTTAATGCCAAAAAATAAATAGCTTATTGTGTTTCACAAGATGGATTATTTATGGGAGAGCGAATAGCACTCCACAGATGGCAACATAATAATGCTTGTAAAAGTAAATCATCACATCACCCAACACGCTCGGGCAGGTTGTGGTTTGTGTGGAGAGAAAGTAAACGGACTGAGAAAGTCAACAAATAACTTGAGGACTTTCTGCACAAACTTGTGAACAGGATGTAGCTCTAATCTGCGGCCGCTGCTGCTGCTGCTGTCGAGCTGGAAATCTAGACGACTGGTTTCATCCATCCATTCATTCACGATGGAAGAACATCTGTACAGTTCCATCAATATACAGCCAACCAAACCATTATCATTACTTCTCCCAGAATCCCATCGTTGGTCTCGGCTTAACGTAACCGAGATCTAATACAAATCCACCCAAAGCAAACAATGATGAACTGTAGCTGAGCTGTAAAGCAAAGTTGAGTCGCTTACTTGATTACTTACTAACTTACTTACAACCCAAAATGTGTAAGTACAATGATATCGCCATCAAAATCAACATCAACGGTGAACCGATCCATAATATAATGATAAACTCAAACGGATGAGTGAACTGGTGGACCGAAATCCTTGCGAATTATTTCTACACTCTTTAATCTCGATTTCCCTTCTCAAGTCTAACCAAGACATCAAAACGTCCAACTCCCATGATAACACGTTGCGATCGTCGTCTATCTAAAGCCTATGCTTCAACTTATGGCAGCCGCACTTTGCTTTCTCTTTTTTTCTTTTTCACTTACATAAGAATCAAACTTTTTTGGGTCTTGTGATTTTAGCAGTTTTTTGATTTTCTTATTTCTAGTTTCGTTTTCATTTTTCAAACCTTGTTTTGTTTTGATTTCTCAGATTTATGTTTTCTTGAAATTGTTTTTTTTGTAATTGTAAACTTTAGATTTTTGTGGATTCTGAACATTTTTCTGCCAAATTCCAAGTTATACCTTTTAATCATCTCGTGAATCTTTGTAATTCCATTGCAAATACGTTGTACGTTGCGCAATACATAATTGTCAACTCTGCTACGATTTAAGAGCAGAGGTTCTCTGCTTGGAGGGCCCGTGTTTAGTCACGGCAGAGAAAGTTAATTTGTTTCATGGGAATACATTATAAGTGGCATTCGCCAGGGACACAGCCAGAGAGATCCTGCTTGCCACTACTTTTGCATGCCTACTCTATTCTATGTATAATTTTACTATATGACTGGTTCCAATTTTACTTAAGATAGACAATTTTGTTCAACTCATGTACAAATAATGTGGGTATTGTCATACATACTTACATACATACATACATACATACTTACTTATTGGATAATTGGATATGTATATTGTTCAAAATATAGAGCTGATTAACTTTAGTAAAAATGACCCAATATGATACCCAAGACCAGTGTGATATGTAAGCTATTGTGGCTGTTGCTCTTCTAAAATACACGATTTTACGGAAGTTAGGGAAACAGTAGTGCCTGGAAAATTGTGTGATCCGAAAACTATAGCAAAATGCAATTTCCTGAATGTCGAATAAATTACAGCTTTTGAAATAAAGTGGGGGTGCAATTGAGTGACATTGGTATAATCTTTCTCATCTTGTCACCAATAAAATATGAATGATGTGCAATTATCGCATTTTCAGTAAGTATACATTCAGATTAAAAAGTGAAAGTTTTTCAGTTTTATGATAAAAAACAAAGATTTTAGTCGAGGATATGGAACAGGGTCATGTGTGTTTGTGAAATGGTATTAGAGTGAGCTGGCTGATTTATCATTTGAATCTCCAGGAAATAGAGAGAGGAAAACATAAGCATAGTACATAAACCATTGGTCTAGGAACATCCCATTCCATCGGCTTAGAGGAAGCAAGTAAAGTCTTGTCAATTTTATTTTCACTCACATACAAACACTCCCAAGCAGCATTTCCATTGTCTACTACCTGCGTTTGTCTCCATATTCCAGCCAGAGTCGCATAATAGTCAGCATACACTTGTGTCTGGCAGGGGATGGTGGGTTGTGGGAAGGATTAGTTTATAGTTTATAGGATTTTCGGTGGGTTTAAACATGAAAATCAACAAATTCATCGTTCACTGCACTGCTTTCACCCGCTGTAAATGAGGCAACGGCTGTGCTGCGTTAACGAAACCATTCGTATAAATTGATACACACACCAAATCCGCCCCATGCATCAGTTCATGGAGTCCAGCTCTCTGCACGGGTGGTAGCAGTGGCAATGAAGATCATTGGTTTTGGTGATGGACTGACAACAGATAACTCGGGTGACAGTATGCACAAACCATTAACTCAAAGTGGTGACTCATTTCGATCCTCTCTTAATAAAATAGCCATCCATCTCTAACAAGCCGTGTCGCAGTCGCCTTTCCCAAAAATCCCACATCACAGTCTATTCCATTATTATTATCCCCCTGATTTATGAGCATACGTCACTTTTGAAATGAGTTGGGACTCGTTGGGAGCAGCAGCACATCTGAATGTGTAAATAAGTGTGTGCATGCATATATATTTTTATGTAAATACATTTGTATGTACAAGTGGAAAATTTAAATGGGTAGCAAAATTTTTCACATTTCTTTATCTTTGTGACAAGAACACACATAAGTGGGTAATAATATTTATCACAATTTGCTCAAAAGTAGAAAAAGGATATACGGACATAGGCACCACTGAGCATATACGACCCGACAGGGTGAATGTGATCCAATCTTGCTCGAGATGTCTGGGGAAAATGACTCGTTTTTAAACAACGCTTAAACCAAACAAAGCGTGACACGAGGCTCATTTATTCTGAGCACATGGAATCCACGATGTTAAGTAAAATGCTCATGTTCTAAGTCATGTGGAATGTAAAGTACAGCACCCCGAACAAAACAAAGAGCGGCCGAGAGGATCTAGAATCTGCGAGAATGGATGTGTTCTCCTCTATCATTCTGCTCCGTTCTCATTGTTCTACTCGGCCCAATCCACTACCTTTGCTTGCTTCGTTTGGTTTATTCGATGGGATTGCAACAGGAAAATTGGGATTGTGCTTACGTAACGTACGTAGAACAAGAATTGCGAGACAATCATCCTCTCTCCCCCAGCCTAGAATGGGGGCAGAATTTGAGGGGGAGGTTCGTCCAACGAGTCTTAAATTCCCGAGCATCTTGCTCGCAGAAAACTTTCTCTTTGGTTGTGGGTGGGAGGCCGACTGGGGGTGTGGATGGGGGATAGCACCCACCCTGGGTGATTGTGAAAAAACTCTTACAAAAATACAACCCCGCTCCACAATGCTATCCCCCCCAAAATTCATCATATAGCACTTTTGCTTCACCTACGGAAAAACCTACCAGTTGAGGAGACGTCAGCCACTCCCACAGGAGTGTTGCCCAGGCCAGAGGGTCGTGGACCTCTCTCCTCATGCTGGCCCATATATTTTTTGTAGTTTAGTGTCTGTTCAGACTGACTAGATATTAAATTGCTCTTGATAATGAAAAAAATAATCTGTATAAAAAATATAAATGATTTGTTCGTAATATTGACTGACTAGAACTGTAGGACTAGACCCAGCCTGGGGAGGCCGACTGGGTAAAGGGGCCCTTTGAAAGGGGGTAGTAGTACCTCCCCTCCCACCCTTAGGTTTGACTAGAATATATGAATAGATCATCAAAAAACTTTCTCCCTGCCCCTAGGCTACTACTACCCCCATGACTAGAACCCATTCTTCTTCAAATTACTCCTGGGTAGAGTAATCGGCCTGTTTTGGCAGAAACCACTTTCTCCTCAACTTTCTCCACTCGCATCCTCCGATCCATCCAACTATTGTCATAAAGCACGATTTGATAACCCAGTTATCACTCTGGGGGACTAGTTCCGAATGTCTTATTGAGTATTTTTAAGATGTTTTGCGGTGGTCAAGTGTTGTTTGTATTGGGACTTGTCACGTGTGTGGTAATTGCAAGGATGACAATCATATTGCACATTTGCGGAGCCCATATTGTGTTTTTTGGAGTTGGTATGCTTCTCCCAATCTCGCTTATCGTCCGTGGAATATTGGCATGGAGTGCATGTATATTTACCGTCAAGGGATTTTTTGACACATTTTGCAACGTGATTCTCAAAGTCCTTCATAACAACAGTATGAAATTTGCAATTTGCACATTGCATTCTACGTTTTGCAAGACGTGACTTGCCTGTGCAAATTAGCTTGTGGGCGTTTAAATCGCTATTTTGGGTAGCTCTGAACCCACACTTGCATAAGAATGGCTTTTCACCTGTATGTGTTCGAATGTGAATAACTAAGACTTTTGGAGATCGACAGTTTTTCTGACAATAAGGGCATATATGCTCCTTCGGCCCTCGACCAATAACGGGAGAAACACACGAAATTGGGGTCAGATTTGGTACTGGTGGATATTCATCTGTCGATAACCTATTTGAGCATTTAATTGAGACATGATCCGATAAATGAAGCATCTCATACACAGGTCTTGCTGTTTGATTATAAATTTGCATGGGATAAGAAATGACCACATAATCAAGGCAAGAAGTGATGTGATATTCTTCATCACTTGGATGTGGAGCATGTCTTGTCCAAAGAATGTCGGACTCGTCATCTTCTGTCCATAAAAGTTCTGAAATATTTAAATATCCATGATTATTAAACATCTCTGCATATTGGCTATATAATTTGGAATTGTTGTCCGGTGGTTTATTTTTCCTCTGCTTTCGCATGTTCCAATCACCCAAAAGAACGACTTTTCTATCTTTTAGAATTTCACACAAATAACTAATGGTGGCCAACCAATCTTGTCGTTCTTGTGCTCTCTCTGGTCTGGAAGTATTATTTGCAGGCAAATACAAATTGATGAAGATAATTGGTTCATCACTTAATTCACATTCAACCTCCACCATCATTATTCTTTCTCTATTGGCTGGTGCAATTTGTGGATAAGTTTGAGACATATCAATCAGTGTGACACTCACATCTTTATAAAAAAGGCCAAGTCCATAATTCCAAAATCCGGATCCCTTTCTTCTTTCATATGCAGGATGGAATAAGCATTCGTATTCAGTCAATTCATGAATATCTCGAATTGATTGTTCTTGGAGCAGATCTAATTTTGTTTCTTGAATAAAAATTAAGTTGCTCCCTTCCCAATGTGGCATCATAGACTTAATTTTGACCTCTGTCAAACCGTCAACGTTCCATGACTCATACCATAATTGAGGACTTTCGTCATTGTCATCTGCATCCACATTCAACGCATTCGTAGGTTGTGAGAGTCCGCTTTCACTTTCCTTATCATCTTTTCTCTGCTTCTTACTTTCTTTCTCCTTTTCCTCCCTCAACCATCTCTTTCCCCTTTCCTTAACTACTTTCTTCTCTCCATTCGCATCCATTTTCTATTGTTTTGTTTGACCAAGCGAGGTTCGTTATGTCAACTTCTTGGCCAATTAAAATTTTAAGAATAATCTAGAGCTTGTTAAAAAATGAGAGAATAGCACGGGATTCCTCCTTCTCTCTGGAGGGACTGTCCGCCTTTCCCAATATCTGACCGTTCCAGTCTCTCGGCGTTTAGGCTGTGGACGACGTGCCCACCGAGCCACTTAGCACTCCTCGACGTCATTGGGAGGTTTTGGCCACCAAATGATAACATCTGGCTTGGGAAAGCCCCGTTCATGGAAAGATGGTGACGAACCCACCCTTCACAAACTCGTTTAGTTTAGAGTCATTTCGGACAATGACTAGAGAATCTTTGGTGAAAGTATAGTTTAGAGTCATTTCGGACAATGACTAGAGAATCTTTGGTGAAAGTATAGTTTAGAGTCATTTCGGACAATGACTAGAGAATCTTTGGTGAAAGTATAGTTTAGAGTCATTTCGGACAATGACTAGAGAATCTTTGGTGAAAGTATAGTTTAGAGTCATTTCGGACAATGACTAGAGAATCTTTGGTGAAAGTATAGTTTAGAGTCATTTCGGACAATGACTAGAGTCTTTGGTGAAAGTATAGTTTTATGCCATTTTGAGAAGAAGGGAAAAAAGCAATTTATCTGCTCAAACATGCTCACATCTAAAAACAGATATGGAACCAGAGGAATTTTAACGGGTGGATACTTGGACTTTATTATTCAGCGCTTATCTAAACGCTATAGCACGGTGAAAGTTGGACGATATGCTAAGCATCTCATCGTTCAGGCAATAATCATACATTGGATTGGATTTTCATTCATTATTATGTTTAACAAACATCTTATCTGAACTTTAACCAACCTTAATCATTGCATATTTATGTACATATTTACAGATACGTTTTCTCAATCTGTGCGTGAAATATTTTCAATTTCATTTTGTGAAGTATTTAGTTCCTTAAAGTAATTTCCGTGTATAGTAAATTAACGCTCACATTAAATTAACGGTTGAAATTACTCGACCCCTCTTAATTATAAGAACTTGGAAGTCCTATATGTATTTACAGTACTCCATCCATGCACCCATTCACACTACACTTTGCGTTCGAGTTTTGTCATTGCCTTTTCAACCAACATATGCATGTCCTTCTTGTCCCGACTTTCCAGCAAGGTTCGGAACAATAGTAATAGTGAGCCTGTCGGTGGGGGATGAGCTGAACAAACAAACGGATCTCAGATTAATCCACTTTCATATCACAACAACACAAGGAATGACTTTCGTCTTCCACGAATGTACGCATTACGAATGGAAATGGATGTATAAAGGGACCATTATGACGACTCTAGAATACCGTGAATGACTGCATTGTTGCGTGCAGCAAAATAACAATATCATCTACGAAAGCTCAATTCTGCGAGCAAAGCCAAGCAAACGACTTTTACTAGGAGGGGAATGCCTTTCTAGAACTTAATATGCACTAAAAGTCTGTGGCACCACCAGTGACCAAAAATATCCAAGCAATACACAGTTTTAACAATTTCAAAGACAACTACTCGCCCCTCAATTTAATGATAATTCACATGCAGTTAGCCACGTGATGCAGCGTTGCACAATGCGAGAAAGATTCGTTATGTACGAATGCATGCATGATAACACAGTTCGAGTCCCGTCACTTCCCTCCTCGTAAAGGTCCGATAAAATTATCTCGCTTGACTAACGACTCAACACATCGACGACCCTCCCCATTTCTCCTCTCTACTTATTTATTCGCATATCTCGGGATAGGATCGAGCACATAGTTTTACTATAATTTTATGCAAAACGTATCGGATCAGATGCTAACGTTATAAATATGTATGGATGCAGGGTGCCATCCAAAAGCTACATTTGGAGAATACCATTTTTATCGGTTATCAGAATGCTGGTAAACACTGCATAAATGAAACAGATTTAGTATGATTAAGGAGCAGATATGTATGCAAAGACGAGCACAGCTTTTACAGTAAATAGTACGACTATGTATGTTCATGATATGTATTTAGGGTGGGAATGTTTCAACATCCAATTTACGCATCCTTGGACTAAAATCAAAAACAAAAATCTAAACCACGAGGGAACCACCGAACAATAAATATTTACGCATTTTAAGGGTTTGTTTGCCCCTATTTATAAACGCAGCCTCATTAAAGCACAGTTCATAAGGCTCTGACACGAGGACTGACAATAGCACTCGACAGCAGTGATCTAGTGAACCAGTCGTGAGATCAAATCAATAGAATAAAATCACACGCGTATTATCCAACATCCTTGCCGAGATTCATAATTTCGGTAGGGTGGCTTTTTATTTATTTCGTGGGGTGGGCTCTGCTCAAATTTAAATTGAAACTTCATCACAAAAGAAGGGTGTCTGAAGTTTAGGGAGTCATTTCTCGTTGCAATGAAGTAAAACGAGTGCACACAGTCAATGCAGATCATTTGGTTGGTTTCTTGTCTATTGCTTTCTGAATTAAACTATTGTGCTTTAAATGCGGGGACGGTGGCTGCAGATACAAAAATGCAATGCATAGTGAGAGGAAAGGGTTGTGATTGTCGAAGAATAATAAATTAGTGTCAGGCTGACTGGTTTACCAATTGTGTTTCCATTGGACAGAGGGATATTTAAATTTTAAAAAGTAATAAGGGTACATTGAATAATAAATAAGGCAACTCAAAGTTTATGCATTATATTGTCATTAATTGGATCCACTTTAATGTCGAATCTGTGCGTAATACTTGCGATTAACCCAACAAAAAACGTGCAAATGCTGGACATATGAAAACCCTACGATGAAGTAATAAAACTCATGAATATTTTACTTTCAGTTAACGTTTCGGAAGGTGAAAGACTTCACTTGTTCAAAATCAGTCGATTGGAGATGGGGTACGTCATATGTGGTTATATTGAATATTTAATAATGATAAAATAATAAATCTCAACATTCTTATACCAACAGGGCCTACCTCTGCATCGGTATTGGGATTTTCATTTATTTTTATCAAGATTTGTGTATAGTTTTTTATGCTAATGTATTTGAATATATAGCATCAAATGGAGTGCCACCATCGATCTCAAAGGTTCGTGAAAAATTGACACCTCATATATTATCACAACTATCACCACTTTATTACCACCTCCTCCCCCAACAACTAATTTATATTTTTCATTTACAAATTGTCCTCAAGCTGCATGAGTCATTCCCTCATTACATTACTCCATTTTATGCAAAAAATACGGGTTCAGTCCACACTTTTGCAATGAATTTTACGATCTTGGGAAACTTAAGTTTAGTTTTCGTGGATTTTGTAATGGAATAAATATGAAATTAGAGAGTGCTTTAAGGGGGAAGGCGTGGAACTTAAACATAATTTTTATTTACAGAGGATCACCGTCGATGTTGAATGTAAGTCATGAGAATATATTATCCTGTAATTTATTGTTTAAGATTCGAAGCGTATTTAGTGCATACGTGTGTACCATGCTACATATGTGCTGTGCGTACGTGAAAGTACAAAAGTGGTTGGTTGAGAGAATGCAACAAGAGATTGTCCAATTCTAAATTCGACCACGAGCAGCTTGGTCTTGGCGTCATTAGGGACGTGGTGTACCAGCGTAGTTTGTAGTTTGTGTGGATGAGTGGCATTTGTCAGTGAGGGAGAAAGTCGATGGTGAACAGCAGCAGGAGCAGCAGGAGGGTTGAGGAGATGGCTGAAAAGTGAGATGGATAGATGAATGGTAGGGCGGACGAGGTCTAATTTGTCTTGATCAACTTCGCCAAATTCACTTTCATTGAATTTATTAGCACCGGCCACAGAGCATCAACAACGGCTAACCAAGTGCGAAGCAACTCCTTCTTCCGAAATATCTGTACGGAAAAGTAGCAGACAAAATCTCACTCAATCCATACACTGCGACGAAAGAAAGGTTATTTTGTGGCGTACACGACATATCGTTGGTGTAATGCATCATCCTGAAATGTAACAAAGAAAAATTGAAGCATATTAAGTTTACCATTGGATAAACATGAATGAATACATTACGGGTTAAAGTGTAAGTGAGCGTTGTAAAGTGAAGGTTGTTCGGATTAGCCCTTTCCTTCCGTCCGTGTTAGTGTCACTTTATCTTTAGTTTCACCATTTATTTTGTAGAAAAAAGAAAGCAGTAGTAGCATCCTGGCGTCCTTGCTGTTGATATCGCCACTGCCACTTCTTGGGAGTGAAAGAGTTCATTCTTCCATGTACTTAAGACATGCATAAAGCATGACAACTTTTTCCGATCCAACATCAACACGCTCAATAACCCGAGCCTCACTTGTCAAGTGAATAACGTCGTCGTGAATCTCTGAGTGAAGTGAGCTTGGCCTGGTTCTTACTTGGGCTGCGTGCACGGGAAATCGGTGATGGATGTAATCTAATAGCACAATGCAGTGTCGCCAACCGACACTTTTACCAAATTCAACCCTTACATTAGTGGCTGCATATGTACATACGAAGAGGTGAAATGATACATAATCTTGTAGGGCTACAACAATGGCGTGAATTCTGTTGATGCATGCCAGGTATTAAGAAAAATAACCTTAGCTGATGATAAAGCCATTGACATGACAGGCGCCATAAATATCATCATCCATCCATATAAGCGTTACAATGCTTACGATCGATATTTTTCATACCTGAAAACATAAAGTCCAAAGCAAATACATTTAGTCCATGGGAAATAAATGTGAGGAAAATGCATTAGTTAAAGTTACGTGTTACGAGCATATGACATTATTTGAGACGGACTACAAAAGAAATACAATTGAGATTGAGGTATGGCGTGGGGATCGAGATATGCTTTGCGGCTAAATTGTTGAATCCAAAAGGTAGTGATGTGGAAAAGAGGGTTTATATTCTTCAGAGATTTCCGGATCCTTTGGTTGAGCTCTGAATTTTGAGCAGACAAAAAAGCAGGTGAAATCTTTGGGTTTTATAACACTCGACTCGTGTTCCTGTTCTTATGAATAAAGCGATTGCTTTCTCCACCTCCGATTCCCTTCCATTCAGTCTTTCAAAGGCTATCAACATATTTATGAAGGATTTCAGCAATCGTTTGCGGCTCCGTCTCAATGTCGTGGCTTTGCTTTGTGCTGTCAATAGTAAATCCTCAAATAGGATTTTTTACGGAGATCCCCATTTCATACAAATTTACGACAGCACCCTAAATTTGTAGAGGAGTGACCCGAATCTCGATGAGTTTTCACCGCTCCATTGTAAATGCATCTATTTATTTATTCATTGTTCCATAAACGTCCATAGGTTCAGCCAACTAGCGAAATAACTAATGGCGTCAGATTGCAGGTTGTTAAATTGACTTTCTTTTGGGCATTCGACAGTTTCACCTATGACCTACATTCCAAATCAGCTAATTGGGGCTCCTAAATCCACAAATGTGACACTTGAGTGCCACACAGAAGCGTTTCCACGTGCGATCTCCTATTGGGTTTATGACAACATGATGATATTGACAACTGGGAAATACAATACGGAAATTGTGGAGTCAAGTTATCGAACTCACATGCGACTCACAGTAAGAGGACTCAAGGACAAAGACTTTGGAAAGTAAGCGCAAGTTTTTTACTCGTGAAACAGACACTAAATTATGGATTAACTAGTATTATGTTTAAGGTATCGATGCCTATCAAAGAACAGTTTGGGTGAAACTGAAGGTTCCATAAGATTATATGGTGAGATTTCTTGCATTTTGTGCTAATAAATAATATCCACTTAGGGAAATAGATAGGATTGAATTTTACTTGCGACTGTAAAATAAATACTTATTTGTGCATATGCATTTTTCAGAGATCCCAATGCCGTCAGTTCCTCCAAAAGCCACAGAAGTGAAGCAGGAAAAGAACAGTGAGCCCTAATTTTCTTATTTTCATATCATATAAAAAAATAATATAACAGTATTTGCTGTAATTACGCAATTGTCGTTACTCCGACGTGGCTATCCAAATAATCCAAACACTGCAACGTATCAGTTTCGAATATGTATTAGTATTTATAGAAATGTAACCAGCTTCTTGGCTTTCCCCACATTACAAATTTACTTTTGCTTATTCCCACTGCGCATATTTTTTACTAGTGAAAAGAGTCGTAAAATGAAGGTACATTTCTAGAATTCCTGATGCCTTTCATTTCTAGAAAGTCCATTAGCACATTGGACCTGACTGACCGCATCACTCCGAGTGATTCTTTCTTGGTTACTGACATGATGTTGGTCAATCTGCCAAGATTCTCTGATATTTTGAAGGAATGTTACGTTGTCAGAAGAAGTGAAAAAACTGAGTCGTTAGGATTCTATTGCAAAAATTCCTTTCAGTCCGTTGGTTAATTGAGGAAGCATTAGGATCGGAAATGTAGTTCTATTTTGTGACAGTAAACTAGAGTAATAATCGAAGTGACTGAAAAGGTGTAGCAGTTTAGCTTTAAAATACTAACTATAAAAATGCTTTAATGTATTTCCTTCTGTACCAGCTTAAACTGGCATCAAAGACTGTATAGAATTTTGCCCAATTAAGCGGAACTTGTGTTCAATCTCGAAATCAGAGATTTGTATTCTTCAACATATTTTTATCCCAAAGCTAGATACGTGTATATCATACAAATTAAACTTTTTCGATGATGGCATGCATCATTTTCATATGTATCTTCACTAAAGTGAAAAGTCAGGAACGTCAGGTTATGTGTAAATAATAAATGTGATAAAAATAAGTGCACATGCTGCATGTCGTATGGATGGATATTCTTCATATTTAAGTACTCACTGCAAGTCTTGCATGGCAAGTTAGAGATCAAATATTAGAACCGCCACTGCACCTTTGACTTTCTCCACGGAGAATGGATCGATGTATAATGAATGGAAAGAGAGGAAGTCAACGCAGACGAAAACATGTCAAAGTTAGTTCTGAAACCGATGACATTCATTTATGATTATTACATTTGTACAAATTTAGGTGAATCTCTAGCAAGAATTTCAATACTGCGCTGGGTGGATCTGTGTAGTTTGTTAGTTATTAGTCTCACTTCAGCCTCATCTTTCATAGTTCATCCTTTATAATGCCGTAATGGGATGTGAATGACGTGGATTACTCTGCTTTACTTTTGTCGTTCCATCCCAAGTCACACACAGCTCACCGGACCACAACCACAAATTTGGTGCATTCAGCAAGTAAGTAAGTAAGCCGTAATTGTGTTGCTGATGTCCTCAGTAGGCAACACACGGGAGGCGAAGGGAGGCAAGACGAAGGAAGGAGCAACAAAGGAGAAGAGAGAATCAAGTTGATGAAGTTGATGATGATAAGTTGAGTCACTGTCCTCGTAGCCATTTACTGATTTACTCCACTTTCTCCCCGACTATTGCGTCGCCTCTGCTTTCACGCTCTCCTCCTTATTGCTTCCCTCGTCTCCCCACCACCACCACTCCTCCTCATCCTCCCTGGACATACATGACCCCACAGCTTCATGAGTCACGGGAAAAACAACTTTCTCCGCCAAAAATTACAAATGTCAAAAAGTGCAAAATTACATGGTTGCATAAGTCGCTAAACAAGAATTTTTCCGTTTTCGTTAAACGCAGATGCGGTTGGCGTTGTGCGGCTTAACCCAATTTCTAAGACGGATGAAAAGTGGAATAAGGGAGGCAAAGGGGAACGAGATCGCGAGTCCAAGTCGAGCAACAGAGTCCCTTCGGATTCCTCTGGCTCAAACTCTCCCAACGGTTTCAATCGCACATCAATCCGTGTTCCGACTGTGGAATCGGCCAACTCAGCGACTGATAGAGCAGGTACCAGCACAAGAACAAATGTTTTATGTATCTCTACTTATCTATACATTTATATACGCGGACCATGCTCATCATGTATTACGTAATTCGTAACATATGATTACGCTAAGATGAGTTATGGAACTTTTGTACTATCCAAACATGATTATTGTTTAATTTTTTACGGCCCAACCATCGGTCACCTTGAAAAAAAATGTATTTTTGTATAGGATCCCTCTTGCAACTTTCTCTGGCAAAATGTGTTGCCTACATTCTACCCGCCACATACCTGATTGCAATGACCCTGATGGGCAGATTCTCAGTCCTCCTACAGTTATAATTTCCTCATTGGAAACGTGAAAGTATGTTTAATAATCGTATTATGTACATCTACCGGTTTCGAGAGATCGCATGATTAATTTGCTGATACCAATTGAAATGAATTAAATGCTTACTGCCACCCACAAATGACCGCCTGCATCACAACTTGATCAAACGTTCACTTTACTGCAACTCTACAACAACTTATTCGGAGGCAATTTGGCTCACGGCGTCAGAAGAACAAGGAAGAAAGTCCGCTCTTGAAGGTTGGGCAGAGCAGAAACTGTGAAATTTCGTCACTGGTGGTAGCGGTGAAGTGTACATGTCGTTTGCAGATTTGGATTTAATGGTTTCAAAGCTAAATGTTTCATGTGACTGAATGCGGAAACAAAGGGGAAGGTGCAAATTTGAATTTAGACTTGTGACTGACTCTGACTCTGCTATTTGCGGATTTTGTGGTCGGTGGTTTATTATCCCTCCTTGCGTCACGGACAACATTCAACAATTTCTCTTGTCCTGCTAGCAACAAGGCGTCCTTAAATCCCTCATTTTGCTGGTTGGTGCTTCTAACGATATTGTCACAGCTTATGTATAAGGCAGTTATTTACACAGATATGACATGCTGCTCTCCCTCTAAAGCTTTGTGAAAATCCGCGAGTGTATTGTTACACAGTTTATGAACACTTTTGGAAAGTTATACAAAGTTGAAGGCAGGTTTCTAATATCTCTCATGACATTTAATAGTAAATATAAACGTATAAATAGGTAATATATATGTACTAATAAACAGTGTTGGCTCATTCATAAGAATATTTAAAATATGGTACATTCTAAAACGAGGAACAAGTTAGATAATTTATATCTTAAAGGTGTAAAATAAAAATAAAATAAAATAATTTCATTTATTTGTAAAATGTAGTTTAACAGGCATGTAGATTGTTAATTACCGGTTAAGACAATCAAATTTTAAAACTGCTGAAAAACGATATGGAAGCAAACTGTGCAGAAATACATTATGTTTTGTTGAACTACTTAAATCATACATTTTCATGTAAAAATTGTCAACGATTTTTTTAACCCAAGAATAGAAATAGTACTCTAATATAGTTAGAATTTATTTAAATACATGAGCACAATTGCACAACACCGCATAGATTTAATATTTATTAGCGTTGCTTTTGTATGAAGGGATTGTACCACACTGCTTGTTTGAGAGTGAGTAACATAAACTAAATTCACCACTAATGACTAAACTATTTTCCTAATTATATAGTTAACTAATTCTTTTGTCCCATATCAATAAAATAGTTATTATTTTAAGCTCCATACTACATTTCGGAAAAGTGAAAGTTTTCACCAAAAATTAATTAAATAAGTCTATCAATATTAAATATATTAGTAGCATATATTAATAATGTAGCATACATTAATAATTCATTCATTATGAAAAAGTGCCAAAAATGGTTTCGTTTCAATAGCTTTGTAAATATGGGTAAGAATCATTTACTAAAATCATGTACAACTCGCATTACAGAAATAAGTTTATATTTATATACGTAATAAAATACGTGATATTAGTATTTGTGGAAATAATTATCAGAATAAGATTTAACTATGTATGCAGAACAAATAACTTTCTTTGTAAAACTTAAATTACCTAAACCAAAAAGTAGCAGCATCCTTCAAGAACAAAGAATAAGTAAATAGCACATTTGTATCTAGCATCAGTAAGTTGAAAAAAATGTACTAAAAAACTTAATCTTCTTGTACTGCACGTACATAAATTTAAAAAGAAGAATTGTTGGATGGCACTGCACCGTCGTTTTGTAGCTTTTCTCCAACCGAACTACCATCAGCATTATTTGCAGAGTCCAAACTCAGCTCTGATTAAAGATCTGCTGACTAAATATATAGCTGAAAATATTACAACCACACACTACCTTTATTTCCTTATGTAAGTATTACTGCAATACACACCAACAATATTTTATAGTCGACCACAACACATACTGTAAATTAAAAAAGTAGCTGTACTGTAAAACAATAACGATGATAAGACCGAAAATAAATTTCCAACGAAAGTTTGAAAGTAGTGTTTGCGTTTTTATTGCGACCATTGGAAAATCCGTAAATTTCTGGGGAAAGTTAATGCTCATGATGGGAGAGCAACCCTCTTGGGCTCTCTCCATTACAAGGGCTAATTTTGTGTCGAACTTCACTCTGTCGAATTCTCGATGCATTTAATTATTAAGTAAGCGTAGGGGTGATTCCTCCACGTCCGGACATGAGAGCACATCGTGGGGAACAACAAATCGTGTCGTGGAAGGGATGAAGGAAGGAAAGTGAGTAAAGAAGAGAGGAAATCTCATCAGAGTTGAAAGCAACTTTGGATGCGGGGCACGTTTCGGGCAATAAGCAAGTAGACGACTCTGAGCAGCCCGACATGGGATGAATATTGCAGAACGATGGAGGCTTCTCATCTGCCTCCGAGAAGGATATGCACTTATCTTCTTCACCCCACCCCCACCTATTCCATGCACACCCAAAACTGCACACCCACCACTACAGATATCCCACCCATCCCATTATATTTCACTATAATCCATCCTCCCATTCCTAGAGTAAACATCACATTTCGAATCCAACCTATCTATCTCTGGGCTACCACCACTCTAAACTATGTGCACATACATATGTATGCCCACCACCATTGCAAAAAATTCTCAACAAATATAATGCGATAACTATATAAATAAGAAAAAAAAAACTTTACTTATGCCGAGTCTTCAGTGTGTACTTTAATTTTTCCCTTCTGCAGCTGCAGTTTCTGAAGGGGACCAGGGTGAGTCGGGAGAGATCCATGTGCTGCAAATGATGCAATTGGGAGTAACATGCAAAGGTGAGGTTCAGTCAGCATGGCGTACGATTCGTGCGTATGTAGAAAAGGGCAGGAGTGTATTGTTTAGAATTGCACATTATTTGGACAGTGTATTGGCACTGCGGACGAGGGGAGAGACAATTTGAGTAGGTGGTAATGAATGATTAATGAGTGAGAATGTGGAGGAGAGAGAGCGAGGTTTATAGGCAGATTGGGAGCCAAAACCTTCCCTCGCTCACTTTCTCCGTAATCCAATTTTCCTTTGGGATGGCCAACCCGCTTTCACTATGGTCTCCGCAACTTGAAGAAGAAGTACAAGAAGATGAAATCACCACCACCACCGACCAACGATCAAGCCACCATACTCACAACGGCAGACTTATCATAGGGGCGGGTAGGCTAATCTGACCAGTGACCATTTCAGAGAGAAAGCCATTCACAGATTCCGAAAAAAAGACTGCTTCAGACTTCAGATACTACTTCACAAATACTGCTCCAAAAACAGATTTTTTACATCCGGTATAATAACCCACAATTCTAATTGTACCCAATTACTTAAGGCATTTACTCCTCGTACCACAGGACTCCTGCAAGTTTCCAAATTTGCGACTCGTCCTTTAAAACTTGAAATGAAGAATGGCGTCGTCTCGTGGTTTCTGTTAATTTTCTCATTTCATGTTTCATTCTGCTGCAGCTAATTTGCTAACTCGTTTTGCCTGGTGCCAATTTGCACCCCTCTGCTGAGCTCTGAATGTAAAGGTAGACCACATTGAGCATCTTCTTCTCCCTCGCAACCCAAGCAGTTGCTCATTTCCTTCGCCTTGATTGAAGATTTACAGTTGAAAATCAACAACTTCTCCAGCTACAACGGGAACCATTTATGATTCATGCGTGGATGAAATGAATCCTACTTTGTGGAAGTCAGTATCACTGACATGGCCCTACTCGTATTGGATCTTATTGCAAACGACATTCATTATTAAGCGATGGTAGACGACTAATAAACAACCTCTTCATTTATAATTTAATCCCTTCGTCTTTCAAGATTTTCACAACTTTGGGTGTGCTTTACACTTTGTATCTTATCTAATCCACCAGCCCTCGTCAGCAATGTTTTAGACAAAAATTTAATGTTGCACCTTTATTTATGAAATACCCATCTGTGGTTTAAAGCAAATACACGTTTCACAGTTAAAGTATTTGCATATGGAAGGAATGGGAGGAATGTGTCAAGTCATGCACAATCTGGCGTAGTACTTACATACGCCCATAAGTACATATATGCATGTGTGTACGTAGTTGCAAACTGCAACTTGTAATCAACTGTGCCAAACAACAATGGGTAACTAGTTATGCATAAAATGTGCATTAATGAGTCTCGAGATAAATTATTTATCCAATGTACACTACCTTTCAAACATAAAATAATAGACACATGCACGGGCAATGAAGTACGCAGACTATAGACATACTAAAAGAACAGCCGAGTTTTAAAAATTGAGTTAGTGGTTTTTGGGTGAGAAATTTACTTGTGCCCAGACTTCTCGCATCCTTAGTCTGTATTCCAGTTGAGTTGTCCATAAAAATCAGGAGTGCAGTAAGAAAGAACTGGGAAGGTGGTGAAAGTCCTGGGGGAAAGTGTGAAAGTCAAGCTAAATTGAAATGAATGGCCTTGGCTTATCTACGTGCTTAATCAAATCAGTTAAGAAGTGACAATAATGCTGGTCACCATCACCACCACCGCCACACACTGGTCGCCCCCAGATGTACATTTCCTCGGGGAGCTTTACGTCTTCCAAAACTTTATCTACCACCTCCCATCAGTCCTTTCGGCCTCCTCCCAGGTCAAGCAGGAATGCGGAGTTTATTTCTTGAGGCTCGTGTCTGCTTATATATGACGTCATTGCATTGTCATATCTTAATTGTGGCAGAGCTACGAAAACATGGTTCTTATTAGGGTTCAGGTTCAAAATTGCAGAATGTTCGAATATCCCAGTTCCAAGTCATGGCATGTTGGAGGAGCTACAATTTAATGTCAACCGTTTTTAAACGGATTATAAATTATGACAGAGCGGGGATGTTGCTGGTGCATCTTGGCCATGGTGTGTTTGTTGTTGTTAGTTTGCGAAAGAGAACTCGATTAGAGCAAGTAAATAGGTTTAATTTCCGGTTACTCAACATCTTTCACAACTTTACTGCCTATGTTTTGAATGATGGTGGTTGTGGTTGAGTGGTAGCAAAGCATAATGATATGCTTTCATTTTACATTTCATTTCGAGCAATGCGAGATGATCAAATTCTGGGGTTGGTTCGATGGGAAATATGCATGGTGCATGTGATTACGTTACATAATGTTGAACAAAGTCCAACAACAACTTTCGTAATTATACATGATCTCCTGCTGCATAGTTTTACTCATCAGTTAATGTAGTACAGATAGTGCACCTAGCCAATAATTTGAGAAATTGATAAGACTGGAAAAATTACAAATTATGCATCCGAAATAAATAAATTACGCAGTACTTTAAAGTAAAGTTTGCCAGATTAACATGTTACATTTATGTGACTGTGTCTGAAATGTACATTTGCAGCCACCACTATGACGGGAGTTACTTGAATGAGTTATCTACATATATGAGAGATTTTCACGTTTGATAGGAAATCATCGGAATTACTACATCCAAAGAATCAGATAAATCCAGAGAAATTAAAGTTACTTCAATACATATAAATGAAACTAAATATTACTTTCGAAATTTGAAACACGCCAATCCCAGAGGCTGCTTGCCAAAAAGGAGGTTACATGCAACAAAATGATATGGGAATAAACATACAAGCATTTAAATAGTTAATTAGGGAAAGTTGCTTTAAAAATGGTGCAATAATGTGCTTTCTTTCGAGAATTTTGGAAACGGTATATGTAATCGCATAGTAGTTGTGATTGTCAAATCTTATAAACTAATTTCTTTATATGAAAATAGCACTTTATTGGATCATCTCAGCGAAATAATTCTGTAAGAATATTGGAAAAGTGTATGATGATTTTCCTATTATCAAAATGTAAAATGTTTTTTTGAAAATGCCTTGCACAAATATCTGTAAAAACATAAGATGTACACGCCTGTACATACGTATGTGTGTATATATGTAGGTATAGGAGAAATGAATTATATTTGGTACAAAATACATGTGGCTACTTAGGTAAAATCCATATATGTACATGTGTGTTTAGTTCGTTTCGTTTGTTACGTTTCTTCTTTATCGCCGTGTATAGTGTATGTACATACATTTACATATGCGGCTTATCTAGCTTAGCTTATCTAGTAAGGTTCATAGGTAAGTCCTGCAGCGAATTTTTCGAAGGGAAAGAGAAAGTCTTGTTTAAGAGTTATAATGTAGCAATAGTGAGGTTTTACCCCCACCAATGACCAGAATAGAAATCGCTCTTTAATCTGCTCCGATACCCATTTCTACTTGCATGACTTGGCCCGACTTGGCTGATCTCGTGGGTCTCTGTATCCACTTGGCCCGAGATTCTCCACCAACTACCACCACCACCTCCTCATCCTCCCGCAGAAGATACATCTCACTTTCTCCAACAAAACCGATCTCCCTCCTTTTAACTGGATTCCATCATTTTCTTATTATCCTTACTTGGCTCTCAAATGTCATAATAACTTTGTGTCTCGAATCCTGATTCCGAGAAGCCAATGTCCGATACAGTAGCTGATACAGATTCGTTTCGGGCACGAGATTCACATCTTATCAGAAACAAGTGTGATCGAAAAGTATGTACAGCCATGCAAGTTGAGCACTTACAGATTTGGAGTTTTTTCTCATGAGATTAAGTATTCGTGCAAATGTATAGTTTACAAGGCTATTATAATTGGGTTTGGAGATTATTATGCGTAATTTATTCTATGTATTGAGAGAATAAGTGTATTAGCTGAACTATGAAAAATTATATCAATGTGTTCAAAAAAGCAAAAAGATTAGTGATTACTTACATATGTATATATGTGTGTATATGTGAGAAAGGGTGGCATTGCCAACTCCTGGGTTGGTTGGTTGGTTTGAAAAAAAAATGTAATTTGGCACAAATGAAGTGATTACAACGCTACACACATAAAGCACAATATCCCTCCATAAATTGGTCGAAATGCGCAAGAAAGCAAATAAAGTGTAGAGTTATTGTAAGTAATGCAACTCTA